ATGTTACGATGATGTATAAAACTCTTCCGGTACATACAATTTTTTTAAATATTTATACACATTTAACATAACTTACATAATTATTCATAACGATGTTCGAATTCAAAGAGGTCCAAAAAAAAGCCAAAAATCGATCTAAAGAATATCAAAACTACAAAGACCGAATGTATTTGAATTGTATTTGATTTAATTTTTAGAGACCGATTGGTCCATTTTTGGTTTCACTTCTTGAATTCAGACCAGACTGAAATTTTTGTTGTTGGCGTTGTTACTGATGTTATTGTTGTTATTGCTATTGCTACTAGTTTTGTTGTTATTACTAAGCACGACCTGACCCTACCCGCTCACCCGGTATGGCTCGATCATGATCGGGTTTGAAAAGGGTCGGGTCTCATTGGGTCTAGGGCCGGGTTCGTGTTCAAAAATTAGACATAGCCAATAATTAGGGTCGGGTAGGGACCAACCATGATCCGTCTCATGGTCACTCACTCATGATGTTTGTATGTGTTTCTGTTCAAATATATACAGAGATATGATATATTTTTGGTCGAAAATATCATTGATTCTCTAATTTTCATCATTTATACATGTTTAATAATATATATATACATATATTATTTTATATGTCAAATTACATATTCACAATAATAAAAATATTTAGAAGACTTTATGTAAAATGAGTATATGTTATATTTAATCGGATCTAGGGTCAGAGTCGGGTTTAAAGGCTGACCCTGTGAATATTTAGGGTCGGGTTAACTCCGGGTCTAAGGTCGGGTCCGAGTTCAGAAAAATGGCCCGAACAACATTAGGGTCGGGTAAGGACAAGTCTTAACTCGTCTCAACCTGGCCCACGCTCACCTCTACTTTTAACGTTGATGACCACTTTTTTAATGTTGTTGAACACTATTATTCTTTGTTTTATACTTAATATTTAGTTATTAGTATGAGTTTTAAACATATGTGTAATTTCAATCTTTTATAAAAAAAATCCGATCCAAACCAAATAAAAATCGCATGTAATATTTTGACCGGATTGGATTAGACCTCTTAATATAAATAGAGTAGACTGAACTAGAAGGTATGTTAATTACCTATTTGCATGTAAAAATGGATCATGATGAAAACCCTTTTTATTCATGTGTGATGTCAAGATAACTTTAAAGACGTTTACATATTGTTTGAACTAGAATAATAACATATGTATTATTTAATCTTTTATACAAAAATATTTTTAAAACCTAAATAAATTGTATATCTATTATAATTTTAGTGATTGGATGAGATAACTTATATACTGGTATAAGAAGATAATTTATTATGATAGACTCATAGCATTCATTGTGCATTGTTGGTTTCTGACAATGAGAATCTGAAACGTCAAAATCATGTCTGTTAAGCATTGATAAGCGACTGTAAATGTCATTTCATCTCTGACTTTCTCAATACTCATCACTTTAATTAGTGCTACAGACTTTCACAGCAGCTACGCCAGAATCCCTTCCGCTTCCGACTCGCCCTCTACTTTTTGCCTTGAAGTTAAAGCCACCTTTGTCTTTCACTCCATTACTTGGTTCCTCTAAATCAATGGTCACATATTTTCATTCAAATGTCTTATAATGAAAAATTGTATTTCATGTTATCTCAAGGTTCTAAAATATGACTTTTAAATAGGAATTTAATGGGTATTCATTTTTGTAGTACCATGATTCTTTTGGAAGTTTTCTTGGAGTTATAAGGCTTAAATTCATAATGTAATAGATTCCTTTTATGGGCAATTTTTTTATGGGAAAAATAAAAACACGACTATCCAGATTTTAATATAAATACTTACGCTTTAATATTTATTAATTAAGTTAACTCTCCGTGATAAGAAATATAGTAAATATGTTCAGTTCTATTAAATAAATATAACATTTACTTACTAAGTAGTATATCTTTCAAAATTAATATTTTTCATTATGTTTTTAATTAATATAATTAGCAAGAAGAAAGTAAAATAATCAAAGTAATAATAATAAATGTTATCTTGAATTTAAAAAAAAACAAGGCTAATAGCCCCTTTATAGATTTTTATGTTGAATGCCATAAAATATACAGTGGGATGACTCTGAAGCCTCTCTTCTTATTTTTTCCTCTCCAAAATCCAACTCGTAAATAGACATAATAATATAACATTTATACATTGAGAATGAAGGTTATTATCCCCCACCATTATGTTAAAACTTAAAATACAAGAAAATCAGTAAAACTAGAATGAATGATGTAGATATATAGTTTAAAAGGAAATGAAGGCAAGGATGGAGCCTCTTCATGGAGTTTGATGATCATAGGTGGGGTACCAAGGAATGGCAAGTCAGCTAAAAGGGTAGTAATAAGTGATTCTATGTAGGGCATATGTGATCCCTTTCAAATAGCAATATAGCAACCAAATTATTCATTTTTTGATGGCCACAGTAACTTATGCTGTGATTGCTGTCTGTGAGGACCACCTAAGTACAAATAAATTCACACCAACATTCTATTATCTCCTATCACATTGCTTGGCATCAGCATCAACCCAAATGATATAGTTTATTCTAACAACGTTAGGTAAAATATTAAGATTAAGGCTGTAAACGAAAATAAACTTCAGGAATCAAAGTGAGATACAACAGAGTTTAAATATTAAAGTGATACAAATGACTAACTTAAAAAACCAAAATGATATAGTTTTTTGTTTTAGATTTTATAATATATACATAGAACTTTTTATAGCTACTTGTGCATCTGAAATTTTAAGTTGCAGAATGAACATAGAATTGTTTCACTTTTTAACCATCCCAATATTTTTATATAGTTTTTCCATTTTATAATTTATTTCAAATCCAGAAATCCTCAATTATAAGGAAGCAACCATCCTGGGTAAATCCTTGATATGGTGAATAATTTGGGTCTTTCAATTCCTTAAACTATAATGTAGGAAGAAAATAAACAATTATGGGCTAATACACCAAGACAGCTCATTTATTAGTTAACAATTGGGCCTTGGTCCCAAATCTATGGAGAGAGGGCTAGTTGATAACACAGGCCATGAATGACTAATGTTCTTTTCTCACCCAAACTACTAATAGTTTCTCATAATACTATCTCTCATTATTCCAATCAATCCCTCATAATCATGCCTCTTAACCAAATTTGCAACCTTCATTTATTTTACTAATAAGTAATAAGAAATATATGAAAGACAATAATAAGAATGAGAATGTTTCCGAACACATTCAGAATGATATGTTTTTTGTTTTCATAAAACCATACCTTCACTTTAGTTTCACATCATTTTCTGCAGCTACTATAAGTTTAATTATGCTTCGTTTATTAATAATACATTACTCTGTATCCATAAGTCACTTTTCACACATTGTTTAAGCTGCATTATTGGCTTTATTGCTGACCTCAGAATGATTGCTTCCTGATTTTGATTTATATTTGGATTTTGGAAAAAGTTAAACTTGATTCGTGTGCAAATAATTGCAAAATGAAGGGTGCAATGTTATTGCTTGTTATGATTGATAGTTCCTGTCCATCCACTTTGTATTACACATTTATGTTAGGTTTACTCTCATTCAGTACTTGATTGTCTAGCTTCTCCACTATATGAAATTACTATTTGATGCTTCTTACTATATATCATGATTTCTTTCTTCTGTTCCACCAACTAACATAAGCTTTCACTTATATTAACAAAGTTGTGCCAAATTGAGCCTTCTTTTACAATGCTGATCTTAAGTCACTGCTTTAAGGCTCATTGGTGAACATCTCTTGGACCTTAACAACCTAGTACTATTATTATGTGGTTGGGGAAAGCATGGAATAATGGAAATTGATAATCAACATGACATGTGTCAAGCTGAGGGGTGATTAACTTCTACTGTTATTATATTCTCTAAAGCAGTATCAAATTCTTCTGAGATAAACTGATAAATAACCAAGAGACACGCTGGAAGTGCTCTTTTTTCTTTTATGAGAAGATCAAGACTCTTGATGACTTCATTGATTACTCTCACTATTGAAGAGAGTGGTTGGTGGCATATTATTATTGACTTACATTTCTTTTCAGACTGGTCTAAATATCTATTCCAAGTTGCAACTTGTGGATAACCTGGCTGCAACTCAAGACTTAATGAATTATAGTAAAATAATGATGTTAATGTTAATGTTAATTTGGTCCCAAGTACAAGAAAGCATACCCATGTGTGACAGTATGACCAAATGGGATATCTTATATCATCCATCCAATGTTGTCCCCACACAACACATTTTTTCTACTTCATACATTAGGTATATTGATTCCAAAGTCCAACCCCATCAATCAAATGAATGTTGATGAGTACACACACATGTAAGTACGAACAGAGTTGTCACCTAGTCTTAAATCTTAAACTAGCTTCTAAAGTTCCAACATCTGTAGGGAAGTTTTAACTTTAACAAGCCTAGCTCTACATCATATATAATACTCATCTTAGACTCCCTTGGACTCCTTATTTGAATATCACACTTGAACTTTTCAGTCTCTACATCCAGTACCATAAAAAATGGAAGCTGGCAAGGTCTCCAATGAGGCAAGAGACACTTGTCGAGTAGCTTACATAATCCATTTCTTGCTTGGTGTTGGAAACTTGCTTCCTTGGAATGCTTTTATCACAGCAGTTGATTACTTTGATTACCTTTACCCAACTAACCACATTGAAAAGGTTTTCTCTGTGGCTTATATGGTTTCTTCTGTGGTAGTACTTCTTGTGATGATGAGTTGGGGAAATTGGAGTAAAACAACACTTAGGATGAGAATGAACCTGGGATTCTCTATGTTTGTTATGTCTCTCACAGTAACTTCTGTGGTAGATTGGGCCTCCGGCAGCACCAAGCTTAAAGAGAGATTTTGTGGCTTCACGGTTGCAGCAGTAGTGATATGTGGTTTAGCAGATGGCTTGGTTGCTGGAAGCTTGATAGGTTCAGCTGGAAAGCTTCCAAAACAGTATATGCAAGCAGTTTTTGCTGGAACTGCTTCCTCAGGTACAAGGCAATTCTGTGTCCTCAAACTTTAATTTTAATTTCCTTTTTCAATTATAAACAGCCATATTATGTTTTTCTATATTTGAACAAATTCCCACTAATATAGAAATTCAGCATAAGATGAAGCACATAAAAAGTAAAGTAATTTTAGACAAGTTAACAATGTGTAGTCTTATAAGTATATACAAGTTTTTGACTGTTAAGGGGAAAAGGGAAAGCAGATTCCATGTGGTCCTGTATTAAACTTAAGTAACTACATTGTTTGTCTTTAGGTAATCCTATCCATCTGATGAAACCATGCTACAACTTATATCTTTAAGGGCCACTTAATTAGTCGTTCAACAAAGTTAAATATAGCTAATACTGAGTTTTGAAGCTGTGACTGACGTTGCTGCTTTTCTGGCTTAAACTAAGATGATGTTCTTTGTAAGAATGAAATTTGTAATGTATACACTAATATAAGTATGTTTGGTGGTTACCTCTAGTTTTCATGTTAAATCCGTTTCTGCAGTCAAATTGAACCTCACTAATCTATACAAAGCAAATTCAGTTGTAGCTTTGATACTCAGCTGCTGTCAAAGTCCATGCTTAATTGCTTATTTATACCACTAATCAACATCTTTTCTGGGTGACAGGTATCATAATTTCAATCTTGAGGATAGTCACCAAGGCATCACTCCCACAAACCCCAAAGGGTCTCCAAATAAGTGCCCACTTGTACTTTATGGTTGCCACAATTTTCCTCCTTTGTTGCATTATCCTCTGCAACTTGCAGTATAAGTTACCAGTCATGCAACACTACCAGCAGCTGTTTCTTCAGGAGAACACCTTATGCTCAGGTACAAAATTTTGGGCAGTGGCAGGAAAAATTAAGGGGCCAGCTTTTGGGATTTTCATACTCTATATAGTGACTCTGTCTATATTCCCAGGATTTATTGCAGAAGATCTAAAGTCAAATGTTCTGAAGGATTGGTACCCTATTTTGCTGATAACAGTTTATAATTTTGCTGATCTACTGGGAAAGTCATTAACTGCATTCCATGTTCTGCAATCTATCACAAAGGCAATATGGGCCTCCACAGCCAGGTTACTATTCTATCCACTCTTCATAGTTTGTCTTCATGGACCCAAGTGGCTGAAAACAGAAGTACCAATGATGTTTCTCACATTTCTTCTTGGATTTACCAATGGATACTTCACCAGTGTGCTTATGATACTAACTCCTAAATCAGTGTCCTTCTCAGAATCAGAGTTGTCTGCTATTGTGATGACCGCTTTCCTCGGCTTCGGCTTGGTTGGTGGTTCAGTCCTCGGCTGGTTCTGGATATTATGATAGTCTTGTTCCTCTGTAATAAAACAAGGGACAGACTGCAGTTGTGTAACACTCATTTGTAGACCTTAAGGGGTTGTTTGCATATTGATATTCAGAAGTATATTTCATGAGAGACAAATTTAATACTTATGTAGTTACTAAAAACAGTATATAACTTTCTTAGTTTAAATTTGAAGATAACAAAACAATAGCTCAGTTGCCCCAAACTAGGTAATTTTCTTGTTAGCTATCCCAGGTTACAAGTGCGAAAACTCACCATGCCATGCCAGAACATGAGAAACCAGATTATTAGGAAACTTCTAGGCACTAAAATGTACTGTTACAATTATGCAGACTGAGTATACAATTTAAAACGTGTCAATAGAGATAATATAAAAATCGACCACCTTCTAGCCGCGTGTGAATAATATAACATGAGAATTGTGCAAGTATCATTATTATTGCCATAACAATCAATACAAGCATGCCATGACAGAGGTTTGACAAATCAAACAAAGGGGGAAGAAAAAGAAAGCATCCCATAATTTTTTAATCATACATGAATCTACATCGATGACAAAAACCATTACACCTATTTTCGTCGGCGAAAAAGAGCTACAACGAAAGGTTAAAGACTTAAAGATAAATATAAAGAGGTTAGAAAGTCATATGAAAGCCGAAACTGGGAGATTTTACACAGAAATCTTCTTCCACTTCATCATCTTCCTTAGCAAACATAATTGAAACAAACAAAGCAAACATAAATTGATACTAATAAAGTTTGAAATTTTATTACCCAAAATAGAAGTAACACAAAAAGCGAAACTTTTAACTCCAGGGCTTACCTCTTTAAAGTACCTTGCGTAGTTCGAATCCCAAAACCCTGAACCCCCTCCATCGTTTTTGTTCCATTCACCACCACCACCTCCACATTCATCAACCCCACTCTCGTCTTCTTCCACCTCTGAGAAAGAAAACAAAACAACACCAATTGTCACCGTTCTGGAACAAGCATGCCACAATAATAATAATAATAATAATAATAGTATGGTGGTGTTATAGGGAGGAACAAGGACCTGCATTATCCTATTCAACTATATAACATTCTAAATACTAATCTTTTCTACCGAACACTGCGTTCGATGAACGCATAGACAAAGTGAGAATGTGAGACATGACTTTTCTCTTCTTATTTTCATTTCGAATTTTCTAGAACAAATAGAATATATTCCTCTTCTTTTCTCTTCTTCATCGCTCCTCAGTCAGAATGACCAGGTTCTTAAACTTTGAAATCAAAATTCTCTTTGTTCTCCTTCAGCATCATCCTTTGCTCTTAACTATTCTTGGGATTATTTCCGAATCAATTGCTATTATGTGATTGGTCCGGTACTCTTTATTACTTTTCTACACTTGTTTTGGTAATTCCCAAGTTTGACCTTTCAAATTAGTGAGCATTGATGAGATGCTAGCATGCTAATTTTCATGATTTGACTAGGTCTCATTTGCAGAAATTACACTTCATTTGTTATTCATGTTTACATTTACTCCATTTAGGTTCAGCTAGGAAAGCTTTCTGAAAATGAATCTAGGCTCTACTTTTCAACAACTTATAGATGCTGTTGCTCATTGTCACAGAATGGGTGTGTATCATAGAGACTTGAAGGTCAAAGACAATATTTTTTATATGGTGTTATTAATGTTCTTGACATTTTGCCGTTATTGTTGTGCACCATATTAAGTTTTCTGACTTTGGATTGAGTGCATTCAAAGCTGCAGCTGCTCCCAGAGTATCATAGTGTATTAAGGCTAACAAAATTAGAGTATGCTAAGTCTTATTTGCCGAATAAGTAGTGGAATGGAGTGCCTTTGCATCAGTGTGATAATTTGGTTTTATATATATGTTGTAAATGCAAGCCTGAATGTACTAAACTACCCCGCAATGGTTTTAATATGTGTGCATTAATTTTAACAAAAATTGGAGTAGTAGTAGTCTACATGAATTAATGCTCACAGACACATCAATTGGGTTTAATAACTGAGCACATTCATTCAAACACGTGAGTGATAATTTCTAGTTCCAACTTTGTTTAATCGGGAAAAAAATTCTCAATAATTACTGTATATTACAACACAAATAAATGTACGTGTTAGGGACATTTAAGCATTGCATAGCCTTCAATCTTCATAAATGGAAATTACAGCAACTATTTTCTTTATGTTCCCCCACCTAATGTGACTTGTTAATAGAGTGTCTGAAATCTTTGTGCACACAGAACTTATTTTGGAATCTGACTGAATATAGAATTTTGCTTACAGGAAATCAAACTTTTTGTCATTGCATCAATATGCATTAATATTTGTTCAAATAATATATAGTATACTTACCAGGTACACTAGAAACTGCTCAACCTTAAACTATAGGATATATTACATGACCCAGTCACTACATTTTAGGTACTATTACTATATAATCAAAAGCTATTATGAACTTTCAAGGTTGAAAGAACTTGTTACCACACTTGCATTTCCATGACAGAAGGTAATAATAGCTCTCATCTCTTTGAGCTTTTGTTGCCTTGTGAATGTGACCATCTTTGTGGTGAGGAGAGATAACTAAAGCAGCCATGCAAGGCCTGCAGTTCAAGCATTTGTTAATACATCGAGGAGGCTTTGATCCCAATACTAGTTTCATTTGCTTCATCATACCCTTGCTATCTTTTGTTGAAGGTGATCCTGCTGTTCAACACAAGTAAAGTAAACAAGAACACAAGTTAGACCAATGATGGTTTCATTTTACCTGAATATTTGGACAATGATGGTTTCATTTTACCTGAGTTATAGGGAAATAAAGTAAGAGATATGATGAGAATCGCAGCCAGTGAAGTTTTTAGGCCATTGGAGTATATTTTTAGAGAATGAGAATCCATTATTCAATAATGGGTACATGCAATAGTAGATAGGGATGACAAGGGGTTTGCTTTTGAGTTTTGATTATTGATGCAATGCATCTCATCAATATTTAAGGGTCCTATATATTTGGCATTTGAAGTTTTTATTTTATTTTTACCTTTTTAAAAGAGAAACAGGTGTTCTTACTTGAGTTTTTCAGTGTGAATGATTGAAGTCAAAGTTTATTTTTTTTAATCTTTTTTGCTGGCTGAATTGACTACCCTATGCTAACTTTCTAAATTATTGAAGTACTACACCATCTTTATTTTGTCACAATACAAGGAATAGCTATCTGTTTTTAGTTATTTGTCTCTGTCTCTGTTCCTCAATAATAATTCTTACTATATTAAATACTACAAGTTTACAGTGTTTGCTTCTAGACACAAATGCAAATCAAAATAACCAATTCAGATTAGGGATCACATCTGAATAGAAGCTATAACTCTTACTTATGAACAAGGCTTTCATACCCTCTATTCCATAATTAATGGTTTGATATAGTAACCAAATTTGCATTGGCTTATAAGATATAAGTCTTTGACTGTTTCTTACAAAAAAAATTCCCCACAGACTGGAGCATGAAGTAGAGTTTCTCGCAATTATAGAACACACTTATAAGCTATAAGTATTGGGTGGGTAATAATATTCACGTATTTTTACTTATAACACTTTATGTCTGCATAATTTTCATCATCATTTTATATCTACATCTTTTTATACATATACCACCAATATTCTTATTCTGTGAGATAAACATATATGAAATGAAATACATATATATTATCTTTCACTAAAAATGATGTGTATGTTTTTCTTGGTTACTGAATCATTGATAATTGAGTGTTACATATCAGATACTGCTTCAAATTTAATTTGTCAGAAGCAACTTTAATCTGTAGGAATTATATCTTAGTGAAGTTGTATAGTGAAGTGAGTGCACAGCTTTGGCAGAGAAATGTGGTAAAAAACAATGGTGATGGATTAGATAAGAGATTTCGCTGACTTGATGGACAAGTGGTGTCGTTTCAATGTTTTTAGTGTGCCATTCGTGTCAACATTACAGCAACCTATAGAAGAGACACTGTACCATAAAATCTGCTGAAATGCTTCAACTTTTTTAATTCAAGACTAACGGCTATGATATCAATATGATTATTTTTTTATCACATGAATTACACAGACATAAAAATGTGATGTAGATAATATTATATAATGATAAGAATATGTTTTGGTTAGAATCAAAGTCTCTTTCAATTAACTAGCACCTTCAATAACGTAAATGTGATTGTTTTAATGATATAAATATAATTATTGGATTGTATATAACAACAAAACATGCACTCATGCAGCAGCAAATTAAGTTGGTTGCTTTTATACAAGTTAGTGAGTTACCAGAAGAAATCCAAAACCTATCACAATCTCTTACCACTAGAGATTTTGATTGGTGGAGAAACATAAGCTTTTATCATCTGTTATGGGTAATTATTAGATATTTAAATGAATTGATTAAACAATAGTGACATACCTTATTAGATAACAAATGTTATCTAGTGATATGTGATGTTTGATTGTGGATGAAGCAAGACCCTTGTTTTTCTTGGTGTTGCCTTTTTTGAGTAGGACAAAGTGGTCACTCCAGGAAAAGACTATGAGCAGTAGTGGCAGATAACAACTCCTGTACAAATTATGCTTTTCTAGAACAGACAGATTTTCTCTCTGAAGAATCATTTGCATATCTTACTATTATAGATCTTACATGAAAGAAAGCCAATGTTGTACATTGATTTTTGTATAGCATTTGCTCTCCTTGCAGAAGCATCCTCCTCTTGTTATGTGATTGATGCACTATTATTGTCCTTTCATTTTTGTAATGCTTGAAGCAAATTAAGACCATTTTTAAGTTGTATTTCTTTATCATGTTGTAGCATAGGTAGCCCAATCTAAACCTTTTTATAGCAAACAAAGAACCCCACGTCTCCCATAAACCCGGGGCAATGATTCTCTTCCCATCATACATGTACTCATAGTAATCAATGAAGGTGAGTTCACCTCACTTAAACACATGTATCCTAATTGTAAATGATTATTAACCTTGGAGAAAGCAAACATCACAAACTATTTCCATATTTCCAAACCATCACCAACTCAACAACTACATAATTTTATGCAGATACTTACCTCACATTTGCACAACTTTAGCTACATAAATTAATTATTACTACTTTCATATGTATATATAATGATAAAACGATAAGTGGGTTGATATGTGCCCAGAATAATGGCCAAGTAGCTTTATTCCTCAGAAACTCAGCATGTGTATGGATCTATGACACAGCTTTCTATCCATATTAACTCTAAGGTTTGACATAAATTTATGTGGAACTCCACATAGTGCGAAATATGATGACAATCACAAAAGGCCCATCAGGCTAAAATCTTCAACAGCAGTATAGCAGAGTCACATATTTTTTCTTCTATTTTTTTTTATATAGAGTTACATAAATCTAGTAATTTTACAATGTTTAATGTAGAACAAAATCTCCCCTACCTCTCTTGATCTTTATATGTTGATAGAAGTAACCTACCATCATTTCCATACACGACGACTTCACATGCGTGTATATCATTCCATTATTCACAAAAAAAATAAGAAATAACAACAATAATGGGGCAAGTAGAAATTGCATTATTATTTATTATTGTTATTATAGAATAACCAAGTGGCCTGCAGAGTACAACTCATAAGGAAGAGAAGCCTACAAAAACAAGGATTTGATTTTAAAGGAAAAAAACAACCTAAAATAGGTTGTTGTGGCAGATCAAAAGAATGATCTACCACCACCAAAGCCTTGAATATGAGACACCTAACCCCAAAATTGAACTACACAACCACACAGACAAGTGACTTGAAAATAGATGAAGTAAAGCTTAAGTCTGAGTAACATCATAGCAATGTGCAACAAGCTAAAACACTCACTCTAAATGGATACATCCAGCAGTACAAAGTAAGATCTAACATAAGCAATGCACTATCTAACAGTGGAAACCACCAACCGGGACTTAGTAACTGTATTCTCAAGGAACCATGACAATAAAAGAAGTGGCCTCCATATCGAAGGCCAAAAGGGTTGTAACAAACATTTCTGTATGAAAATGCTTGCAAAAAAGGGTGATGAAGGGTATATGCCAAAGTTCCCTGGAAAACAACCATGTCCACAGTCACCTATCCACCTTTGATAGGCATATCAGCCCAAAAAAGTACGCCGGATTTCACCATTTGTTGAGTTCATTATTGTAGCTTGATACATGTACAGATGTACCATATATCCTGAATCTCCAGATGCAGTTCTTCTACCCTGATTAAGCCAGAATATCGCATCGCCACAAGT